TCCCTAAGCAGTCTATTCCAATGCTTGAAAATCTCTTCTATAAGAATTTTTTCCTAATGTCTAATCTAAATCTTCTCTTGCCTCCTTTAATCTTGAATCTTTCACTGTACGTAATCTTTTATTTCTCTAGGGCTGCTTTGGTGTTCTAAAAGCTGTTTTTTGTACGTTCATTCAATCTGACTTGGATTCCCTGTCTGCCATGCTATGAGTAGGCATGACAGTCACAAGATGCACTTTCCAACTATGCAGATCTTGCAAGATCTTGCAGTTTTCCTTTCAAGAGGAAAATTAATTTGATTTTTTTTTTGAGGCCCTGAACTAATGATGTTCTCTGCTTATTGAAGGAGTACTATGTAACAATCCCTTGGGATCATGTCCTTTGGTCTAAGAATTTTTTTTTTTCTTTTTACAAATACTAGTTTGGGCCTGACACTCAGCCAATTGTCTCCCTATGTCCTCCTAGCTGAAGTTGTCTTCAGCCAAGTATTAAAACACAGTTTGTTTCTCAGCTGCAGACCTTTGGGTGCACGCAATAAAATAATGCAGGCCTTAACCTCATAGGTGTTGGGAAACACCTGTCCAGAATCTGTTGTCGCTATTTCTTTGCCCAGATTCCATGCCATTTTTGGGTTTGTTAGAACATTGAATCACAAATTTTCAGTGCCTCTGGGCTGTGAGTTTTGTGGTGCTAGCAACTAACACCATCCTTCCAGCACAGTATCTTCTTAAGACATAATGGAATAGCCCTCTTTCTAAAGAGCTGGCTGCAAAAAGGCAGTTTGGCACAGTAGAGATGAACCTTTTAGGAGCATGTTGAGCATGACTGATACGTTGGCTGTCTTGAAGTCTCATCTAATTCCTGTGATTCACTTTAGAATTGCAGTTCTTGTCCCACATACTCTGTTAAAACCTGTTGAACAGTTACTAGGCTTAATAACTGTCTGACCTATGTTGCTAAAATGAATTTGCATTGCTGTAGACTAGGATGTGTGCTCTAAAGGACACATCCTTATATGAGTGGTGACTGTTTCTCCATCAGTCAGGCTTTCCTGTAGATGTGGCAAGTTTGATTAGTTTCTGCAACAAAAAGGAGTTTCATCCTTTTGCTTTTTTTTGTTGCTATTAATGTGCTTTTTTTACTTGATGAGGGAGCTCATTAGACAACTCTGAAGGCATAAGACCTTTCTGTCATTGAGGAGAAAGCATTACACATGTTCTTTCTACAACTTCATGTAGTTTCAAATGCCTGCCTACCATTCCTTGGTTATAAAGCAGAGCCAAGTGATGATACCACAGGATCATCAAGAACATGATGGTGCAAGACTGCCATCCTTCTGTCAGCACTTTTGATTGAATTTTGGAGCTAGGTAATTGGTGTCAAGCTGTGAAGGCCAGGGTACATAGTCTTAGCGAAGTCTGAGGTAGGTTGTTTTTTTTTTTTTTTTTTGTGAAGTGACTGTCTTCCTGGACAAATCCTAATCTGCATTACACATCTCCATCTTGGACAGCCACAGAGGTCTAATTCTCTGTACTAAAGCTGTTCAGTACCCTTTCTTTTTTGATGAAGGGGAAGGAAAATGGGATGCTAAAATAAATAATCTGGAGAAAAGACTTCAGGGTTCACATAAATGTGGTACTGAAAGTGCCCTAGCGACTTAAAGTAGTTATATTTCACTAGGCAGCTCAGATTAGTCAGAATGATTGCAAGGAACTCATAAAGAGGGCAGTGCACTATTTTTTTTTTTATATTGCCATAGCTAGTATGGAGAAGTTCTGAAGTTTGCTCTCTGTGTAGTACTACAGTGTTTATTAGAAACAGTCTGGTAACATATATTGGGACATCCACCATGACAGTGTGTAGCTCATCTCGAAGAAAAAGTAGTAAGGGAATATTAATATGTTTTTCTAATTTAACAGAGAGATGGTTTAACAAAGTGAACTGCCTTACTGTCCACGTGAACCTTTCTATGTTCACTGATCAAGAATCTTAAAATTGTCTTTCTGTTGGTGGCTTCATGAAAAGTTAGTGCTCTCTTAAGCAGATAACTGGTTTGAAGTAGCCACTTCATTTACCTTTATTAAAAGATATGTTATTGCATAAACATTGAGGAATGATGCTGAACTTGGTAAAGAAAAAGAAATAGTAACCATCTGTTGTGTGCTAGAAGACTAAGACTTATCTCTAGATTATCTGTAAACATCAAAGAACTGATTTGCTGATTTGTAACAAACATAATGACAGCCTTTCAAAGACAGGGTCAATATTGTCATACTGAGTTATAAGTGATGGGTTAGCCACACTTTGATTCCATCCATTAGTGTCTGATTGCTTGCTGTTCTGTAACTCAGAAGAGGAAACCATGGTGTTTAAGGCAGGCATGCTTGAGTGAAGGAAGAAAATGAGCATTCTGTGTTAGGCAAAAAATTTCTTAAGCTTAAGTATTTGCAAGACGTGCATGATCAGTGAGAATTCACCTGTAAGTAATCCAAGTTCAGTTGTTTTTTAATAACATCCTTTGTTGTCTTATATCTCATAATGTGAAAGTATTAATAATGTAGATTCTGGAATTTGGATTCATATTATAAAGTTTAACGAAATGTAAATTTGGAGGAGGTTGTAGTTTTTGAAATTGGGATGAGGGGGGCCTGCATGTTTGATTTGTGAGTGAAATGTGCTTTCACAAATGAGTGTTGAAATACAACTTACATTTTATGACGTAATCACAGGGTGGTTGAGGTTGGAAGGAATCTCTGGAGGTCATCTGGTCCGACCCCCTGCACAAGCACAGTCATTTAGAGCTGGTTGCCCACAACCAGTCCAGAAGCTTTTTGAATATCTCCAAGGAGAGAGACTCCACAACATTCGTGGCCAGCCTGTGCCAGTGCTCAGTTACCCTCACAGTAAACGTGTTTCCTCCTCTGGTCCTGTCACTGGGCACTACTGAGAAGAGCCTGGTTCCCTCTTCTTTGCATGCTCCCTTTAGGCATTTATGTACATTGATGAGATCTCCCTAAGGCTTCCCTCTTGCAGGTGGAACAGTCCCAGCTTTCTCAGCCTTTCCTCATATGTTCCAGTCCCTGAATCATATTTGTGGCTTTTGTTGGACTCTCTCCAGTATGTTCATGTCTCTCATGTATGTGGGAGATCAGAACAGGACAAAAAATGAAAAATGAAACTGGTATTGGAGATAACATCCTTTGAAAAGTTTTAAGCCCACATGTAGTGCGTAAAAGCAAAAACTATTAGTGAGTACCTGTAAGAGGCGTATTTAACAAGGACAAATTTACATAAATGTTCCTAGTGAAAATTAATACTGTAAAAACTGTGTTTTGTAAGTAACAGCTAGATGTAGTTGATGAGGCCTGTAACTTAATAAAACACAACATAAACAGAGATTTCTAACAAAGACGTATCCAGATTTTATGACTTCAAGTGTTTTGAAGTCCCAACTTTGACACAGATTTGCCTTCATAAGATGCTGTACAATCTGTAGTTGAGTCAGAATGCTTTGCTTTCAGGCAGTTGTTTTGATAATCTCAGTTTGGCTGCATTATCTTTACTCTTTGGAGAGGTAGCAAGTGAAGAACAGTTTCTTCCTGCATTTTTCACTCCCCTTCCTTTTCCTTTTTCTGCTACTTTCCCGCTCCCTCCCTCGCAGCTGAAGAAAAAAAAGAACAGAGACATTGAATAGCTTTAGATTGGCTGATGGGGGACTAGGAATTTCTGACATTTTTCTTTGTTTACACTTTTTATTACACTATATTTCTTTAGGATAACAGATACTGGAAAAGATAAATCAAAGAGCAACAATAATTGTGTCGAAAGAAAGTGGAGTCATGAAAAGTTCATTATTATATGGTTTTGTCTCAAGTTAATATTTCAAGTTAATATTGAACAAAATGAGGCCTTATAACTATTTTGAATTTAGACTTTTACCCCAAAAACCAGTCACAGTATATGTATTTTAAGAAATACAGTTTAATAATATGCTGTTGGACTGTTTAATTTTTATGCCTCAGGGTAGCACAGAGCACTGTTTCTACTTTTAGAAGCTTCCTCTTATTAGGGTAGTCTCTTATATAGCACCTGTTTTTAAACTCCAGATCTGAATCTACAAATGTAAAACCTGACTTTTGAAATATTTGCTTTTTTGAACACTCTTCTTTAAAGGACCTATCAGGATCTCTCCCCAAAATGCTAGAAGCTTGAAGGATAAGGGAGGAACAATGTTGCATGGCCCAAACACATGTCCTTTCGTCATTAGCAAGGTACAGCATGACCTCATGTTGACCTCAAAGGTAAATCACTAACAGGGAACAATTATACATGCCTGTGAAAGCAGCTTAGTTTTGAACATAATCAAGAAAATAATTCAGTGCATAGAATAAAATTAAATTTACAACTCTGTCTGCCTTTCTCTTTCTCTCTCTTGTCTCTCTCCCAATCTCTTCTTGAGAGAATGTTGTGTTTTATATATGTGTGTGTTGTGAAAAAAATGACTTTTCTAGAGGTCATAAAGAATTCCTAAATATGGGGAACCCACAGGATCTTGTATCCAGTTTAGTCAAATTGTACATCTTAAAATGAAATTCTCTTTTTAATGGAAAGCTTTCATTTGTTATCTAGAGTATTGATATTGCAGCCTTCAGAATCTGTATGTATATCACTTTGGGGAATTTTATGTAGTTCTGAAATGTATAAATGATTTAGACTTATGGGAAAGTTTTTTTAATATCAATACATTAATTTTTATGTACTTAGACTTCAACACAAACCTATGACATTTTATTTTTTTGTAGAAGACTAAGTATTCTGTAGCATTATGTGATACATCTCTACATATGATGGAATATTATTTAGCTAGCAGTTCTGAGCTATTTGGAGAAGAATTGCTGCCAGCATCTTGGAACTGTTAGCCGTATCTGTCCCATATGATTTGTATAATAATTGTTTGTAAATTTGGGGTTTTTTCTTTCTTTTTTTTTTTTTTTTTTGCTAGAATGAGAGAGCATATTCCTTCTGTGGAACAATAGAATACATGGCTCCGGATATTGTAAGAGGAGGAGACACAGGACATGATAAGGTATGTTCTAATTTTATTACTGAAAATAAACTAATTCTTTAGGCAACATTGTTGTTCAGCTTGAGGATTTCTTGTAAAATGTGACAGTGTCTTATTTAAGCATGCATTTTCAGGTTCTCCTAAAGTAGATTATTGCCTGTATCTTTAACTGTCTGTTGGTGTATTTTCTTCTTTTAATCTTAAGTAAAAGACATATTTATAAAGGTATTGAGGCTTATTTGCGTTCTGTTCAAAATTTGTTCTAAATGTGCAGTGGAACAATAAACTTAGCTGACACTTCCATTTACATAAATACTAGTTCAGAGTGGAAAAATGACTGGTTTGTGGTTAATTCTGATATATGTTTTAAGTTGGACATCAGAGAAATCTGTTATCTTTATTGAAGTATGGAATGGATTATTAATGTTATAAATGTTCTCATATTGTAAAAATTAATTGTTTGGCTTGTGGCTCAGGTTTTATTATTTTATGAAAGTGTCAATAATTGATAGGAAAGATCAAGACAACAATAATTCACAGATGGTATTTGAAACAAACAAAAAACCCTACCCCCCAAAATAATTCTACAATATTCATAGATAAATTATTTGGATTACTCACTATACTGGGAAGTTTTGAAGATTATTTAATCTCTGTGGTTCTTTTGCTGTAGACTGAGTTGACTTGTCTTTCTGTTGGGGACCATGTAGTTGATCACAATTCCTCTTATCGCAGCCTGTTTAAGAACTGGAAAAGTCTTACTTTTGCCGAGAAGGTTCTTTCTTTTCCTTCTCTGTGAATTCTACAATTCTTTTGGTCTGAGTTTGCATTCAGGTAGGGAGCACTGTAGTGGGCACAGTGTTTGAGCTGGGAGTTGGCAATTTGAAGTACAGCAGGATGATTACCTCCCTGATTCTTCTACTAAACATAAAATAGAATGTGCTTTGTCTTTTCATGTAGTCATTGTCTCACACCTACTTTGGATTCCACTATAACCTCTGCATCTTTTTCTACTGTTCTGCTTGCCCAGTTGTTATTAAAAATGTAATTTTAAAACCATATGAATTGAAGCTCTTTCTTGTACTCTCTTTCCTAGTTTATTCTTGCCACTTTCAGAGCATCTCTCCAATGTGTCAGTCACCTTGAATTATGATTCCAGCTTTTTCAAGTGCTTATAAATTCAATCTTGTTACTGATTGAAAGTAGAATCTCTGTTCTGTTATCTTTGTTTCTATCTGATACTTTCATTAGATGTAGTGCAGAATCATACAGTATTCTATAAGGAATAGCTTCACAGTTTAATACTGAATGTTAGCTGATATGTAAGGGTGATTTTGCAGTTAGATATGTGATGTTAGTTCTTTGCACCACACACTCATTACTTTACCATTGGCAATGTCATGTGTTGTAGTGTTAGAAGGTTTTTAGTGTATTTTATACTTACTGCATATCTAGCAACTCAAAAACCTTACCAAAAGAGAAAATTAAATTGATTAATGAGAGCATAGCATACTAAAGCAATGTTTATGATTTGTAATCTTTTCTAGATTATTGCATTGTTTGTCTAAAAGACTTGTCTAACATTTCAGTATTTTTTTAAAATTTGATTTCTGATTCCACAGATCCTCCTTTTCTTTTGGAAAAACACATACCAAGAAAAATTGTTGGGATTTTCTCTGAGAATCATGTATTTGCAAAGATAATTAGTAACAGTACAGAGACTTCTTCAGCTAGTTCTTTTAGATACTCTTGGCTGAATATATGAAGCATCAGATCTTGTGTGTATCGAGGCAAAAAAACTAAAATAAGAGGCCTAATTGTCATCATTTCTCTATTGTTTTGCTGTATTGTATTAATGTTGTCAACATAAGTAGAGCAGAACTTCAGTTTCATTGATTTGCAAATTTCATGGCCATAAAACTGAAAAGTTCAAACACCTGTAGTTAAATTAATTTTGTTGAAAGGACTAAACTGCTTCCTGTATTATTCATAGTAGTATCTTTTCTTTTGAAAGAGAGAAATACTTTGTAAGTTACGAGGTATCAGGATATGAATAATATGATTAATATATGGGAAGCCAAATATCCCATGTGTTCTCAAGGTCCATCTCTCTAAGGCCCGTGAGGTGCAGCGCTGGCACTGGATGACCATAACTAATCAGTGTCTGTACCTGTGAGGAGCTGCCCATGCAGAATGGATAGTAGGGAAAGTAACAGGAACCAAAATGAAGAAAACTGCCAAAGTTTTGTGCTGGATCCTTACTTACTGGCCTGAGTGAAGGAGCAAACAGGTGAAATGTGAACTGGTGCAAGGTTCTGCACCTGGGTTGGGGCAACCCCTGGTATCAATCCAGCCTGGGGCTGAACAGATCAAGAGCAGCCCTGCTGAGAAGGACTTGGGGGTGCTGGTGGATGAGAGGCTGGACATGAGCTGGCATTGTGTGCTCACAGCCCAGAAAGCCAAACGTGTCCTGGGCTGCATCAAAAGCAGTGTGGCCAGCAGGTCAAGGGAGAGGATTCTTCCATCTGTCTGGTCCCCACCTGGAGTTCCCTCAGACCCCACTTACAGTGCTGCATCCAGGTCTGGGGTCTCCAGCACAGGAAGGACATGGACATGTTGGAGCAAGTCCAGAGGAGGGACACCAAGGTGCTAGAGGGATGGAGCACCTCTCCTGTGAGGAAAGGCTGAGAGAGTTGGGATTGTTTAGCCTGGAGAAGGCTCCAGGGTTACCTAATTGTGAATCTGCAATACCTGAAGGGAGCCTACAGGAAAGATGGAGAGAGACTTTTTATAAAAGCATGTAGTGATGACACAAGGGGGAATGGCTTTAAACTAAAAGAGGAGAGATTTAAATTAGATATTAGGAAGAAATCCTTTATTGTGAGGGTGATCAGGCACTGGAATAGGTTGCCCAGAGAAGTTATGGATGCCTCATCTCTGGAAGTGTTCAAAGACCAGACTGGATGGGGCTCTGAGCAACCTGGTCTAGTGACAGATGTTCCTGTCCATGGCAGATGGGTTGAAACGAAATGATCTTTAAGATCCTTTCCAACCCAAACCATTCTATGATTTTATGAATGAGATAAAACTGAATAGCATTTTCAGGTGCCTGGATTAACTGTGGCCTGCAATCTTTAATTGTGCTTTTTGGACATTCCTTAATTTCATTCTGAAACTTGTAAAAGCTCAGGTTCAACTACTTCTTAGCAAGGCTTAGCTTCCTCTGAATGTTTTAGAATTCTTATCACTTCATAATGGCAAAAATAAAAATTAAATTTGGGAGGTGGAGCAAAAGGAACTTTAGTAGTCAGTGGAGAGAGTTCAGCTTGAGAAACTAGTTGAAGAAGCTAAGTGGAGAGATTTTAACATAAAATTAATTTATTGTAGAAAATACCTCTAATCGGTACTGCAGTTATTTATGCTTTACTGTATCCAGGTTTGCCTTTGATAGGTAGGTTCTTCCTATGGTAGTTCTTTTCCAAGTGTATTGTTTTGTTCCTTCTATTGTTAAAAATGTTACTTCAGTGTATCATAACATACATAATTACTGTTGTTCTATAGGCTGTTGATTGGTGGAGTGTTGGTGTTCTTATGTATGAATTATTAACTGGAGCATCACCATTTACAGTCGATGGAGAGAAGAATTCCCAAGCAGAGATTTCTAGGTAAGATTCAAAGTAGTAAAGTATATATGCTTGCTCACAGATGATCCTTGTGCCATAATACGTGGTTTTTGAGGGTTTAAATCTACAATTTAGAAAGCAAGTGCTGCCAAGGTAACATTTTTTGTGCTCCAGTTCTGTTTAACAGAATGACATTGGAAGTAGATAGTTTTTATTAACTAATAGAACTGACCTTTACAAAAGACCTGTTTTGTTTAAACTACGAGGTAACCACAGCTTTGTAGATACTTAATCTTGCCGTGTGTTTACCGTTGAAAAGGAAGTCATATGAAATATCAAATTATATGTAACTAGAATTATCACATTCAAAATCTTAGTACATGAAGTATATCTTTAGCTAGAGATATTTTTCATCAGCTCTTACTAGATCACTCTGGCAGACTGCTGGTTTAAAGTGTCAGAATGTGCCCTACTCCCACCTTTTTGTTACAGGTAATGTTTATTTTATTAGTTTATAACATGAAACAAACAACGTGATCTTTTCTAGCCCTACTCGTATATCTGAGAAGAAATGAATATGATACAGAAATGAAATAACCTATACTATTCTTATCTGTTACATGGAAAACTTTTTGTTATGATCATTAATCTCTACACTTCAAAGGTTTGTGTTCATGTAAAAGCACTGGAGCATTTTCAAAAGACAAAGCAATAACCTTCCCCAAAAAACATTACTGAAATCTCTCCCAAAGCAAGCATTTCCTCTTACTGGATTTCTTTTGGAGCAGGGAGTTGAAGGCTTAGATTGTTCAAATTAGTAACTGCTGTCAAGGTGAGCTTGTAAGTCCTGTCCCCAAACTAAGAACAGTTTTGCTTCTATTGGAAGATATTACCATGGTTCTTATCCTCACCTAAAGTCACTTGATGTTTAAGCTTGTAATAGATGACAGAACAAACCTCAATTATGTAGATAATTTATTTTATTTATATTAAAAATTCAGGCAATTTCTTGAAAGTTTGAGACCTGTTTCTTGGTTTTTAGTTCTCTACCAGAGCAGGAAACTTAGAGGGTCACTAGAAAAAACTGAGGGAAGAGGGGAGTCCATTAATAAAACAAAATTCAGTACTTCACCCTCTTGGTCATTATATTACAGTTATAACTTAAATTATGTCTTTCTGGCCTATTTAAGGTTAGAAATTTTGTTGATTGCTTACTTACTGTGTTTGAATTTGATAATTTTGATTCCCAAGATTTATTAAATGGAACTCTGAAGGTGTTACAATTTCTTTTTAGAGAGAACCTTGACCTGAATTTTATAGATATAGTTTCCCAAAAACTGGGCAAATTTTTAGTTATGTATTCTAGAGGATTTGACTTTCTTTTGGTAGGCCCTTATGTGCTCTTTAAGATATTAACATTTCTGATAATTTCAGATTAAATTCAATGGTGAGAAACCACAAGGTTGCTAACATCTGTCCTCTGATGGTTAATAACCTAATTTCTGATATTAATTGTGGCAAGTTTACTGTATTGTTGCTCAGTCTGTTTTTGTTCTGGTGGGTGTTTATGCTACAGATTTATAGATAGCAGTCCTGTAGTGTTTCAACTTTTATTCTGATAAATTTAGAAGTTAAATTCTTACCATTTCCTTTAATAAAGATGTTCCCCAGTCTTCCTGTTTCTTGAAAAAGCCTTTTCTTAACTCAGCTTATGTTGGTCTTTCTTACATATGGACAATTTATTCCTGTTGATGTTTCAAGAGGATCTTGTTTAAGGGAAAGAATAATGCACCATCTGAACAAAAAAATATTCCTTCCTTTGTTCTTTGGCTCCTCCTGTTGATGCCAACTGTGGTCTGATAGATCTAATTCCTTCTCCTTTTCTATCACTTTCAACTGATAAACTACTATTTTATAGCTGAAATCTTATTAGTCCCAGCTATGTGTCTGCATTTCAGACTTGATTTCATCTGTCTTGTGTTACTTAAGTACTCATAAGACTCATTGCTTTCTGAATCCTCTCCACAGATAGCAATTTCTGCGTCAGATGACATCAGTTTTGTGTGTTTGCAGTTTATTATGTCATGAATGTTATGTTCCTTTTAAGAACATATGAGAATGTTGCTGCTGTCCTGGCTGCTGCACCGGGTCGTGTGGAAACTTCTGGGGAATAGCGGCTGCCATTCAGACACAGCGGGAGTGTGGCAGGGGCTTTCCTCAAGGGTACGGTAGAGCAGGCAGAACAGAAATCAAGTACTTACAGTTGCCAGTGGTAAGGAAATTACTGGCACAGAGATACGAGTTGGTACAAACTTCTTTCTTGGTAGCAAAGTTGTTCTAACCAGAATTTATATTGTTTAACTTAAATATGCTTAAACTTGCCAATTGCAGCAGACTTGAGAATTCAGTTTTTTACTTGGTCACAAACTCTGAAAGCATAGTTTCCATGGGCTTTGATTTTTCTGAGTTTAAGGAAAAAAGTCTTCTAAATGAATCCAGATCCTTCTTTTATTTTACCTAGGTGGTATCATGGTTTAACCCCAGCCAACAGCCAAGCCCCACACAGCCGCTCGCTCGCTCCCACACCAGCAGAATTGGGGAGAGAATCGGAAGGGTAAAAGCCAGAAAACTCATGGATTGAGATAACGACAGTTTAACAGGGAAAGCAAGAGCCATTCATACAAGCAAAGAAAAACAAGGAATTAATTTAACACTTCCCATGGGCAGGCAGGTATTCAGGCATCTCCAGGAGAGCAGGGCCCATCACATGTAACAGTTATTTGGGAAGACAAATGTCATCACTCCAAATGTCCTCCCTTCTTCCCTCTTCTCCCCATTTTATATACTGAGCATGATGTCATATGGTCTGGAATAACCTCTTGGTCAGTTTGGGTCACCTCCCAACTGGTTGTCTCCTCCCAACCTGCCATGTGCCCCCAACTTCTTGCCAGCGTGGCAGTACGAAAAGCATAAAAGGCCTTGGCTCTCTTTAAGCTGTGCTCAGCAAGAACAAAAACAGCTCTATGTTACCAACCCTGTGTCCAGCACAAACCCAAAACACAATCCTGTACTAGCCACTGTGAAGAAAATTAACTCTACCCCAGCTGAAATCAGCACAGGTGGGAAGTTATCTCAGATATTTTTAGATAATTTTATTTTCTTGTGTGGCACAATGGCTGGCTGGTGCTAAATTTGACCAAATTTTGTTCCAAAATCTCTCTCTAATGGACTTGCAGTTCTTGTGTCAGAAATAGTTATTATTGGGTTTCTAATTTTATTTTTACTCTTTCTGATGAGAGATTATGTTGTTCTTTTGTCATAATCTTTTTGGCAACACTGTGGACTTGGCTTCTGTGGAAAATGCAACTTAAGAAAGTGCCTACTATCCCTTATGTCTCTGTCTCTGAAGACTTTTTGTTCATATGCTTGGTGTTATGGATTATTAAACTTCATTAAAAAAATAAATCACAGAACTATTCAAGTATCTCTCCTTTTCTAGTATGCCGTCTCCCCTTTCTTTTCCCTTCTTCCTAAATCTTCCTTTAATTTTTGAGAATTCTGATTGTCCATTGCTGCAGAGCCAGGGATAGGACCCATCCTGCAAAATCACAAGCAAGTGCTGGGTTTGATAACACACCCAGTATTTTCCATTTTACTGTGAGTGATTCATAGTGCTGAATTCAAAGACAGACAAATACATGAATACTGTATGAGCCATTGTTAGAGCCTTGAGTGACTTACCTTCAGTACAGCACTTCAGTAATGTTGTACTAGTGAAACCAGACTCTCTTCCCTTGATTAAGCTACTTCACCAGTTTCTGCTCTTTCACATGTTGATCCAATCTGGTCTTTCTCTTCTGGCAGCTTGCTTTCTATCCTTCAATCCCATGGTAATTGTAAATAGTTCTTGGAACTTTTAAAGAATGTAGCTTCAGTCTTCACTACATCTCTAATGTCATTCCATGAACCGGTCCAGAGCATCATCAGTATTTTCTAGTATCAGTCAACCTCAAAAGTATTTCTGAATGAAAGCTACTGCCATCTATTAATGCAGCTTACATGGAATCTGCTTGTACAGCATAGCAAAATGCTGCTTTCTCTGCAGTGGGCTCTAAGAGAATCAACAGATGGACAAATAACCCTCAATATAAAACTTACCACATCTCTGCTGGAAATACAATACAGCAAAGAGGAAACAGTTCAGGAGGTTCCTGGAATGTGTGGAATATAACTTCCTGACACAGCTGGTGAGCAAACCAGCTAGGGAAGGTACCCCACTGAGCCTGTTGATTGTGAAGAGAGAAGCACTGGGGGTGATGTGATGGCTGTAGGTTCTCTTGGGCAAAGTGATCACAAAATCTTTTTTATTCTTGGAGAAGTAAAGGGGGGGATCAGAAAAATCTCTAAATTGTAATTCTAGAGGGCAGGCTTTTGCCGATTTAGGACACTGTTTGAGAGAGTCCCTTGGAAGGCAGTCCTGAAGAGCAGAGGAGTCCAGGAAGGCTGGACTTTCTTTCTTCAAGAAAGAAATCTTAAAGGTGCAGGAATAGGTCATCCCCATGGGCCAACAGACCAGTTGGTGGGAAAGAAGTTTGGCCTGGTTGAACTGAGCTTTGGCTGGAACTCAGGAAAAAAAGGGGAGTTTATGACCTGTGGAAGAAGGGGCAAGGCAACTCAGGAAGGCTACAGGGATGTTGTGAGGTTATGCAGGGAGAACATTAGAAGGACCAAAGCCCAACTAGAATTTAAGCTGGCTAGTGCTATAAAAGATAATAAAAAAATGTTTCTATAAATACATTAGCAACAAAAGGCTAAGGAGATGAGGAAAAGGTGAGGTATTTCATGACTTCTTTGTCTCTGTCTTTAACAGTAAGACCTGTTGTTCTCCAGAGGTGCCCAGCCTCCTGAGCTGGAAAACAGGGACAGGTAGCCTAATCAAACCCCCATAATCCAAGGGGAAATGATCAGTGACCTGATACACTGCTGAGGTGTTCAAAGTCTATGGTCCTAGATGTAATCCATCCAAGGGTACTGAGTGCTCA